GAGAAAGAAAGAAAGAAAGAAAGAAAGAAAGAAAGAAAGAAAGAAAGAAAGAAAGAAAGAAAAGAAGAAAAAGAAAATTAAGGACAGTCGTCCAAGAGGTTGTTCCCACCCTGTCACGGGGAAGGAAGCCTCTGTGTTCAGGTTTCCATAACTGCCTCTTCCTTTTGCCTTCTAGGCCCCATAATGCCAGCATCTCAGTTTCCCTTCTCCTCTCCTAGATGGCCCCTGTGGTGATCACGCTGGTGACGGACGGGGCCCGGTGCCTCCTCGCCCGCCAGAGCTCCTTCCCCAAAGGGTTGTACTCTGCCCTGGCAGGCTTCTGTGATATAGGTAAGGAGGGTAGGGAGGAGGTGCAGGCGACAGGGGAGGATGCGACACATTTGTCCTGTTGCCATCCTGCTGAGTCACAGTCATCCTCATGTCAAGGAAACTGTCCCGGAATCATGCTTCATTTCCTACGTAAACGGAGGCAAAATTTCGAGCATGCAGCATTAGCTGGAAGAATTAGACAGCGAGTCCCCCTCCCCCACTGCCTCAGTTCTGTAAGCTTTGATTCCACTCTCCCCACATACGCACCTACCCATTTGTCTGCCCGGCCGTCGGCCCGTCTTATTTTCTGATTAACGAGTTACAGACATGAGTGTACTTTTCCCTGAGTTTCCAGCACACCGCTGCTAACGAGAATCCCATGCTTGCTTACAGTTCCTCATACCGTAATCTCTGTGAGTTCACTGGGTCAAGTCTACAGATGGTGAAAAGTGGCAGTGGCACAGGCCGAGGGCAGCAGTGACCCCTCCCATCGCCACACTCGCCCGCACTGTAACCAGCCCACTGGACGGGCTCTACTCGGGGTCCGAGCCCTAGTGCTGGGAACCGAGACTTGAGACACTCGCAGGAGCGCCGCGTTGAGACGGCTCTCGCACACGGGCTCTCACGATGCAGATAGGTAACACACAGTTTTCCTGCTCCAGGGCTGTCGGGGATTAATCTGAGTGCTTTCAGGTGAAAGTGTGGAAGAGGCCGTCCAGCGGGAAGTTGCAGAAGAGGTGGGCCTGGAAGTGGAGAACCTGCGGTACTCCGCGTCCCAGCACTGGCCCTTTCCCAACAGCTCACTCATGATTGCGTGTCATGCAACCGTGAAACCAGGGCAGACGGAGGTAAATTCTTAACTTTCCCATCACCGGCCAGCGAGTACTTTCTGAGCACTTGTCTTAAGGAATACTAGGTTATATGGTGATATATGAGATACTCAGTATCCTGAAGGAATTTGCCCTTGAGAATGGAAACAATCATTCTCCCTTGCATATATCTCAGGTACGGAACAACTTGCCTTAGGCGCTTTGTTGACTTATAATTAACACACAGAGTCTACAGGGGGTGGGGCTCAGGTGGTAGAGTAAGCCAGAGGTACACAAAGTCACGGGTTCAGTCCTCAGCACTATGTAAACCCAAACTGGTAGTCCTTGCTTCTAATCCCAACACTTGGGAGGTGGAGGCAGGAGCATTAGAAGTTTGCGGCCAGCCTAGACTACATGAGAGCCTGTTTTGTTTTTAAAGACATGTCTATGGATGTCTGTAGACATCTGATGCTTCTGACTGGCTGGCTTTGGAGAGAAGCGTGTATTGGGAACTATCCATCAGACATTACTGTCTGTGTCATAAGCTTACCCATCATCTTCTGTCGTGCCCCCCCCCACCCGCCCCCGTTTCCTCTGTGCTAAGAGCAGTTAACGTAAGCCTTACTTTAACGTATTCAACAGAATGTTGCTAACTGTAGGTGCTGTACAGACCACCAGGACTTGTTCTGTGTAAGTGAGACTTCATATCCTTTGGCCACTGCCTCCCATTTCCCGCTTCCAGGCCTTGGGACAAGCACTCAACTCTGGGCTTCCACTGGTCGACTGTTTTCCAGTCTCCATGCAGCTGAGAGCATGTGGAATCTGCATCAGGCTTATTCCACTTAGCATGTCTTCCAGGCCCATCAACTTACTATAAATGTGGGATTTCCCTCGTTTTATCAATTCAGTAATGCCAGCCAGGGTGACAGGTGCCTGTTCCCTTGGTACTTGGGAAGCAGAGGAAGAAAGATCCGGGAGTTCAAGGTCAGCTCTGGTTGACATAGCAAGTTGGAGGCAACCTAGGATTACATTAGACCCCCCCCCAAAAAAAAAAATCAAACAAAACCCCTCAATACTACTTCACAATATGCATTTCTTCATTGACAGACATTTAGATGGCTTTTATATCGTGGATGTTGTGAAGCATGTCACAGTAACAATAGGAATGTCCCTCTGAGATCCAGATTTCCATCCACTTGGATATATGCTCAGAAGTGGGATTGCTGGATCAAATGATAGTTCTAATTTTTATTTTATTTTTATTTTATTTATTTATTTATTTATTTGGTTTTTTGAGACAGGGTTTCTCTGTGTAGTTTTGTGCCTTTTCCTGGAACTCACTTTGTAGACCAGGCTGGCCTCGAACTCACAGAGATCTGCCTGCCTCTGCCTCCCAAGTGCTGGGATGTAGCTAGAGTTTTCCTGCCTTGCCCACAGTCAGGACAAATCTTTGTCCCCCGCCAGTCCCACAGCCGCTCAGACCTGACCAAGTAAACACAGAG